TGATTTCTCATTTCATTAACAATATTCATGACTCTTGTGCAATATTCATCAATTTTTTCAGATTCTATCATCTTTAAATTTTGAAACTCTCTTCTAAGAGTTTGAAGATTTATAGTGCGTACCTTTTCGTCACCATATACCTCAGTTTCCAGAAAAATCCCAAGCTTCCTTTGCAGTCTCACAAGTAGCATTTTTGCAAAATATGCTCTTGAGACTCCCATTTGGATTTTGCTTAAGGCTTTTGCATCTTGACGATACTTAGCCTCAAGATTTTTCATCTCTGCTGCTGTAAGATCACCATCGTTTTCTGGCTCTTCAAAGCCATTTGCAACGATAGTCCACAAACCTTCAGCTTTCAAATGTGTTCTCCTTCTTATTTTCCAGTATTCAAAATCAGTTTCATCAAAAAATGGAGTAAGAACAACTAAAGAATCAGCACGTTCATTTGTTTTGGATGCCATATTTTTTTCTTCACCTAACCCCAGATTAAGAACGAAAACCTGCTCTTGATACCAATCTGTAGGAATATGGAAGGAAAATAGTATCTTTATAAAATGCTCAAGTTTATTATAGGCTACTTAAGGCCACATGAGATAATTATAATCATCAACTACATCACTATTTATACTACTCAAAATAGAAAACAAAAAGTCTTGCACAAATAACTAAATACATGTATCACAATTTACTAGATACATGTACTACGGAATTCTAAAAAGACTTCTTGAAAAACTAAGAGACAATTTCGGAAGACTAAACATTTATGCATTAATTCCAACAAAATACACAACCACTTTAATCCATCCCATCCACCTCTGTTTCTACCCCCACCTTTTCCCTTTGCAGGGACCCCATTTACACCACCTCTCCACCTTCCGCAAGCCCCCTGAATATCCCTGAGAACCTGTCGGAGGATGTCAAAATAATGCTACAGAAACAAACATGTTATTGGATAACTACGCCACACCATCAACACTCTTCTCCGGGGAGGACTTCACAACCAACTACAACACGACAATGCTCTTCATCTTCTGGACATCCAGGAAATCACTACGACAAACCTTCACAACAATCTTGTGGACTTTTACGAACCAGTCACACACGACCTTCCACAGGTATCATCTTGGATTATACCCCCACCCATGAACTCATTCGCCCACGAAACACTATTGCCGTTGATCACTGTCCCAACACAGGGCACAACTTTTCTCCCATCACCATTATGCTCGACGTCCCCACCACATGTGTGATTAGGACAACACCACATCCACTTATAGACGAGGGACCTTCAAACATGCACGAGACATTCATGGAGACCCTTACCTTGTCCTCTCCACTGACGCTCTCCATGCCCGAAAACCTAAAAAAAAGTATCTTGTCAAAATACCAAAGACCTTGGAGACTACATCACTCAACTTCAGGTTGGATCCACTATCAATCACTCAAAAATATACTATTCTTCTAGTCCCGACGTTGAACGACAACCACCTACTTCAGGAGCTCCCCAGCTCACACAGCTTGGCAATGCACCTCTCAATGTCTCTTGCTCCGGGAGGAAGCGTCGATCCACCCAATTCTGATTTTATGAAGATAATGTTATGGAATTTCCATGAAGAAAAATGCCCTGAATTTCGTAGAGCTCTGTGTTTCCTACTCAACTGGAATACCCCAACTATGCTCTGCTTGACTGAAACCAAAAAGGAAGACCATGGATCAGTGTTGGATGAGTTCAATTATACAGATCTCATCCAAGCATCTTCTTAAGGATACTCTAAAGGAATGGTTGTTCTTTGTCGAGGTGACATCATCTCAGTTGACCCAATTATTGTTACTACTCATGAAATCCAAGCGACAATCCAAGTATCTGCTTCTTCAGCTCCTTGGTTGCTCACTCTAGTTTATGTCAGTACCAATTTTCTGCCCACAATAACTATGGGATAATCTTCACACTTTCTCTAGTCGCCACACAGGGCCATGGCTCCTTTGTGGTGATTTTAACGAAGTTGTTAGCTCTTCGCAAACAAGAGGAAGAATACTTGAAACTTAAATCTCGCGTTCAGTGGTTGCCTGATGGTGATGACAATACTCGCTTTTTTCATCTATCCACTGTTAAACGTCGTCGCCGCAATCGTATCTCAGGCATACAAAATTCAGTTAGGCAATGGATATCGACCATCACCAAATCAACAACACTATTGTTAACTACTTTACCCACATCTATACAACCCAACTCACTGACTCTACCCGCTCATCGCCCTCCTCTTCTCTTTTGGGTCTCACTTTAGAACAACAATCAACACCTAATGAGACCCCTCTCTGACGCTGAGGTAGTTCAGGAAATCCAATCCTTCAAACTCCTTAAAGCTCCGGCTCCCATTAGTTCACACCCCGTGTTCTTCCAAAATATTGGCATTCCACCCAAGACACTATTATTCACCTCTAGAAAGACGTCTTCTCCATATCCATCCTTCTAGCCTACCTCAACGAGACTAATATTACTCTAATCACTAAGGTTAAATCACCCGAACACATTACTCAATATCGTCCCATTGGACTTTGTAATACTATTTATAAAACCATTACCAAAATTATTGTCCATCGTATTCGCCCCTACCTCCCTTCTCTCATTAACCCCTCACAAAGCAGCTGATAGTGACATTATTTTCCAAGAAGCTCTCTATTCCTTTCGGAAGAAAAAGGGAACCATAGGGGCTATGATGCTAAAACTCGACTTAGATAAAGCTTTTGATCGTCTTGAGTGGTCATTTATTGATTCTTCCCTTCTCCATATGAATTTTCCCCAGCCTCTTATCAAATTAATTATGGACTGTGGTACTACTTCCTCTATTTCTATTCTTGTTAATGGTACCCCCACCCCTTTCTTCCAGCCTTCTCGCGGTATCCGTCAAGAAGATCCTTTGTTCCCCGATCTATTCATTATTTGTATGGAATCACTTTCACGTTCCATTTAACATGTTGTCTACACCAAAACTTGGCAACCAGTTAAGTTAAGCCGTACAGTTTCTTCCCTCTCCCACTTACTCTTTGCCGATGACCTTGTCTTCTTTTCCCAAGCCACAACTTCAAACGCCACTACTATTATTAACATTTTTAACCATCTCAAACATGTATCTGGACAACATATTAATTTCTCTAAGTCTAGAATTATTTTTTCTCGTAACGTCGACTCCACCCAATGACATGCCCTTTCCTCGCAACTAAATATCAAATCTTCAGACCATTTTGGGAAGTATTTGGGTTTTATCATGCCTAGATTACATCCACGCTCATTCGATTACCAATTCATCCTTGATCACATGACCACCTGCCTTCAAGGTTGGAAGAGTACTACTCTTACGCTAGCAGGATGCACCACTCTTATTAAATCCACGCTCTTTGCTATCCCTGCATATGCTATGCAGCTCAACTTATAAGTGTATTATTGGATAAGATAATTGTAAATATAGTTAAACTTTTTAAGAAATTATTACTTCCTTTTTGTATTTAATTGACCCTTTAGATAATTAAAATAAAACTTATTATTTATTGTCTGGTGATGTAATGGGTTTTAGAAAATAAAAGAAAAATCATTTTATTCTTGAGCCATGACATAATGAATTAAGTAGTTAAAAAAAGTATATCATACACATACACACAACTTAATTACTAGCTATATCATTATAATTATTTTGTGTTGGGAGAAAATGTATGATTAAAATTGAGAAACATGAACAAATGAGGATGCATATATAACCAACTCTGATATATTACAGAACAATAATAGTCGTTACATCCAGGTCTTATCACTAATTTAGATGATTTATTAACTAATTGTAATTTCATGTGACTAAATTAATCATTATGATTAGGCTTATCTTGATTTTTCTTTGTTTTGAAAATAATAATAATAATAATAATAAAAAGAATCTTGGTGGTTAATCTACGTTTAACATTTACTTTGAGATAGTGATTTCGAATGTCTAAAAGTCAACGTTATTAGTGTTAAATCATCTAGTATAACATATTAGTATTTGACTTCAAGAAAGAAGCTCAACTTCCCAGTAAAAGTATTATCATTCCTTCAAAATTTCGTGAGTTATTCTATGAAATGTGAAGAAACGCGTTATTATTTCAATCGATGTTCACAAGTAGCTTTTTTTGTATGTGTGTCTCAAGGGCAATTAGTAAGCCTAGCCTTACATCCTCATCTTCCTTTTATCATACTCGTCGCGTTTAATTTGAACTATGATATGAATTGTTGGACTAAATTGGTGCAATGATATTTGTTATATCATCCACTTTGATCAAACCTGCACAATCCTTAAAATGCCTCACAACATTAAATGGCGATTATGTATTGAACCTAAATTAAATTTAGTTTACTATAAGAACCAACTAGGTGATCATTGAATTTAGTTTATTTGCCCTATTTCTTGTCATAAATAGATTTTTTTATTAGGAAAAAAATTTAATATTTTGAATATTCTGTTTGTTGTAAGAGATTTTAGGACTCTATAAATATAATTTGTTTCTTCTAACTTAATTAACATCTCAATATAGTTCTAGGGTTTTGAAAGTTTTGATAGTGGAGGAGTATTTTTTAAAGCTCTTTGTATTCCGAGGGAATTGATTAAGATTTCTCTCATATTTATGATGGATTTCTCATCTTTTGACGTATATTGGTTGATCTTATCACATTAAATCTGTGTCTTTTGATATATTTCTCGTTTGTATTTTTATTCACAAATTTTTGAAATTTATTTTTTTCTAGCTTTTGCATTACACCTATTTATTTATTTTGATACTAACACATTGTAGCCTTTAAATGAAAGGGAGAAGTAGTTAAAGAAAAAGGAGTTTACTTTGAAAGAGTAAAAGTAATTAAAATCATTCTAAATTTATAGCGTGGTCGTCCCCAGAAGTCCATTCCACGTGCTTACCCCACTCATCCAACTATTACATTACAGTATATAAATATATATCAGCACAAATGCAATAAGTCTGAAGAAAACTGCCCTGCCCTGTTACTCTCTTTCTCCTATAATTAACATCAACAACAAATACCTCTTTCAATACTCTCTTTTGCATCTCCATTTTCTTGCTTCAGGTAAACTTATCTATCAAATTATGGTTCATGGGGTGTGTTGGAACATATTTCAATGGACAAATTCTTTGATTATTTTTTGTGATTTACCAATGGGCCATCCTGCTATTTAACTTTTGTTTCTCTCTTGTTTGTCACTTATATCCTTTTCTGGATAAAGAAACAGTCTATGCCTTTTTTCTTGGGACCAATATCTTTATTTGATCACTCCAAATTTGTTTTAACTTCATTTGTGTTTTGCTAAATTTGGTATTCAATCTTACTGGACAATATGAAAATTGTAGCTCCTCCTTTTGGCAGGATCTTGAACATCGTATGGGGATATCATTTACATGTCCACTTGCTTCTCATACTGATTTGGAAAACAGTCTTGAATCTGTAATTGTGAAGTCTATCAACTTTGGTGATAATGAGCATAAGACGCCATTACGATCTATTAGCTTCAAAATTGAAGATTCTGAACCTATAGTGATGCAATCAGATGGTTCAGGAAATATGCTGATAGAAAAATCTGTCAGCTTAAGGACAAAGGAAAATGTAGTTGACTATCCATCTTCAGATGATATGATGAATCAACAAAGTACGAAATCGCCTTTGTTGGATAGTAGCAGCAGCCCAAAACATGAGGCAGCTGTAAAGTTGCAGAAAGTATACAAGAGCTTTCGAACAAGAAGAAAATTAGCAGATTGTGCTGTACTCATTGAGCAGAGTTGGTATGTATTTTTTAATTGAGACGAAAAGATTTTATTTTTAAAGATTTTGCATTTTCTGATACCCTTTTCGATTTGTTACAGGTGGAAGTTATTAGATTTTGCAGAACTCAAACATAGCTCCATTTCATTTTTTGATCTTGACAAGCACGAAACAGCAATTTCGCGCTGGTCAAGAGCAAGAACTAGAGCTGCAAAGGTAAATTTAGATCACATCAATGGAAGATTGTTTAAGTTATTCTTAAATTTGACTAACTTTTTTGTTTATTTATGTAGGTAGGCAAAGGCTTATCTAAGAATAGCAAAGCTAGAAAACTTGCTTTACAACATTGGCTTGAAGCTGTAAGTAAGACTGTTTATGGTTTCTTGATTTTGTCTTTTTGGATCAGTTATGTATTATCAGGCACTAACATGGATGTGGTTTTTTTATATAAACAGATCGATCCACGACATCGTTATGGACACAACTTGCATTTCTATTATGTTCAATGGTTGCATTCTCAAAGTAAAGAGCCATTCTTCTACTGGTTGGATATTGGAGAAGGAAAAGAAGTTAATCTTGTTGACAAATGCCCCCGATGGAAACTTCAACAACAATGCATCAAGTACCTTGGTCCTGTATGTCTTAAGTCCTTTGTTCTACCGGTTTTCCATAAATAATTTCTTGTATATTTGATATTTTTAATAATTACTTACCATGAGTGGTTTCTTTTCTTTGAAAATAGATGGAAAGAAAGGCTTATGAGGTCACAGTGGACGACGGGAATCTCTTCTACAAAGTGACTGGGAAGCTCCTTGACACCACTGGTGAACCAAAAGGTGCTAAGTGGATATTTGTCCTCAGCACCTCGAAAACCTTATATGTTGGGAAGAAAAAGAAAGGAACATTTCAGCATTCCAGTTTCTTGGCCGGGGGCGCGACTTTAGCTGCTGGCAGGATAGTTGTGGAACAAGGAGTCTTGAAGGTATAGTTATAATCTTGAATCACTAGAAAACTTTTTTCTTCAATTTCGAATCAGCAGCTTATCGATGAACATCCTCTGGATGCTTAACTCTTTTCTTGTTTTTCTGTTTTCAAGCAGGCTGTCTGGCCTCACAGTGGACATTATCGACCTACTCCAGAAAACTTTCAAGACTTCATTTCGTTTCTTAGGGAGAACGATGTGGACCTAAGCGATGTTAAGGTACATAATCATACTTCACTGTTGATTCATGATTTTCTCTGCCATTGGAAATGCCAATGCTGATTAGTATGAACTGATGCAGCTTGATTGTGTCGACGAAGAAGATTCTATTGGCAAGAAGAGTGGTGTATACCTCAGACATAATGCTTCAGATGATGACGTAGGTCAAAAAGATGGTCTGGAGACTGGAGAGAATGATTTGGAAGACGTAACGACTTCAGATACAAATGAGTTGAAAGAAGAAGCAACTTTTGCTGCTTCATCTCATAGCTTCAATTACAAACTGGCTAATCTACGAATTCCTAACAACGATGATTTACTAGAGAAATTGGCAAGTGGAAGTGCAGCTGTTGAATCCATTTCACCAACAGATGGATATGAATCAGCAGAAGAGTTAATTGATAATGAACAAGAAAGTAAAGAAGATATAATTCCACAAGAATCTATACTGAAGAGGATAAATTCACACAAGGGAATGAAGTCATTTCAATTAGGGAAACAATTGTCTAGTAAATGGAGTACTGGAGCTGGACCTCGAATCGGATGCTTAAGAGATTACCCTTCGCAACTGCAATCACATGCATTAGAAGAAGCTAACTTGTCCCAGAGGAGTGTTTGTCGTCTCAAGTTTTATTCAAGGGCATCAAGCTTTAGTAGGGAAATGCAAGTGTCATGTTCTATCTGATCATTTCATCGTATCCATTCTGTTAAGGACTCTAACATCATTCAATCAACGAACATCATACTCATGACATAGGATTAGTTCTCATTTATTCATTCGTTGTGTATAGACAAAAATGACATAGGAATTCTTTCACATTCTTTCTAGGAATTCTTTGGCAGATTTTTTCTAGATGTATTCAACTTTGTATACAATTCTTGTTCTTAATATCAGAAAACAGAACCACGTATAACGTTCATCAAAGTTTCCTTTTGGCTGAAAATTTGCGCTTGAGATGATTACTTTTGATGGTTTTTTTAAAACCTAAATCGCCGTCCATCCAACCACTTAAACTAAAATTAACTGATGGATATATAACACAAGTATAATAATTGTACAAAATCGATGTACAATTTAGGTAGATCGTCCTTGTTAGCCCGATTTCAAAAGTTTTAGTAAAATTGAGATCTACTTGTTAAACTTTGCTTCTTTGATGTAAATTTTGAATGTGCCATACAATATAATATCAATAGATAGATACCTTGTATATAGTTATTTTGTATAAACTTTTCAAAATACGCTAAAATGAAACAAATATTTACATGTATGTATTATAAAATACTTGCACACATTCATATATAATGCTACTTCAACAAAAAAGGAACAATTATTTTTAAGAAAATGCTACTTGCAAAAAGAAAAACAAAGGCCTAAAATTGATTAGATACAGACGAATGATGTTTAATCAAAGCTATTTTTTTATAGTTAAACAAAGAAATGGACAAATGATAGAAATTACATATTTTTAAGGCAAAATTATGTGATATGGGGGGATACGATTTGCTTAGAACTAGAGATAAATTAAAAATAACATTTAAAATTGGGTGTGATTTAAAGTGGATATATCCCTCAATAAAATATTAATAAATATATACCATTTTTATTCAACAAATGGTTCATATTTTTCTTAATACATTTATATTTACTAATTTCCTTTTTCTAAACTAGTTTCTTAATTTTAAAAATGTCGCATGACTTTAAAAAATAGTACCATATTCATTTTATTTTAATAAAAATAACACTACACACACATTTAAGATGATAAATATCAACTTATAAACATATTTTATAATAATAAACTACTTATACCATATTATTATCAAGTTATAGCATATCAAGAAAAAATATATTATTCTCATTAATTTTTTTAAATAATAGTTAACTTATTTAAATAATTACATTTATTATTCAGTTACCTTTTTAAAACCAATGTAGTTAATTAAATTAATTATTTTAAGTTACCTTTTTAAAACAAAACTCTTAACTAGTGTAAATTAAATTAAATATTATATAGTTACCTTTTTTAAAAATTACAAAATAATAGGGATTTTTATCATTCCATAATTAATAACTACCTATCAATATCTAAAATAATTACAGTTTTATTTTTAAAAATGTAACACGTTATCTATAAAAAAAAAAATTTATATTCCCCAAAATTTTGTTCTTCCCCAAATCCTTACAAAATCATCTCTTTTGCACGCCTAACAAAATCTTTCACCAAATTTCGCTCAAAAATTTTACTCTCTTAACAGTCTTCTTCATAAATTCTCCCATATTCATCTCTTTGCACGCCTAACAATTAATTTTTCACCAAATTTCGCTCAAATTTTTTTCTCTCTTAACAGTCTTCTTCACCAATTCTCCCATATTTGCACTCAAATCTTCCTTTTTAGCACTCAAATCTTCAACTCTTGCGCTAAAAAAACCGTACAATGTCGAAGAGAGGCAATGAAACCCCGCGAAAAAGTAGAAGGTTGAATGATGAAGCAAGCTCAGACGAATTTCATGCTCCATCTTTTAAAATTTTATCACAAACACAAACTCAGCCTTCATCTGTAAAAGACAAATCTAGATCAGGAAAATCAAAAATGAAAAAAAAAACACAAACAAACATCCAAAGGAAATCGAGAAGAAGAGAAAAGGGAAAGAAAAGCAAAAAGTAGATGAATCTGAGAAAAGGGCGAAAGAAAGAGGAAGGAAGAGGAAAGGAAAACAAATTGAGTACTCATCATATTCTGAATCTGATTTTGTAGAAGAGTTGATAAAATCAAAATCCAAAAAACCAAGAGCCTCTGAAATCGATAATTCACATTTACAACAAGAAGAAGAAACATTAAACCCAAAAAAAATTTAAAGGTTAGTAAAAGTTAATTTTTTAAAACTTTTTTATGTTCTGTTATTTTTATGTGTTGTTATTTGTGTATAAAATACTTAATATATAATTTTAGTATAGAAGTCTATGAAATATTTGTATCAAGTTTTTATGATATTGTTGAATCTTAATATCCATATTAAAACTACATACTTTATGTCTTGATTGTATATTTAGTGTTGAATACATTATGTATAAAAGAATGTCGTAAGCTTGTATGAATTTCTATTAAATGATACATCTATTCATTACAATATAAATGTATAAACAATGTATAAATTGTGTATGATTCACTGTATGAAATTAAATATTTTTTCCTATTACAATATCAATATATGAAACATGTATGATTTGTGTATGATTCACTGCATTAATGTGGTATGATATTGTCACGACCCAAACCGGGTTGCGACTGACACTCACACTTACCCTCCTATGTGAGCGAACCAACCAATCTAACCTTAACATTTCAATATAATATCAACAGAAAGTAATGCGGAAGACTTAAACTCATTAAATAAGACCAATTCATTAACTTCTAAAATTCAACATCTATTATTCCCCAAAATCTGGAAGTCATCACCACAAGAACATCTACGATCAAATGACTAAACTAAGAGTATTCTAAAAGCTAAAAATACATAAGAAGCTAGTCCATGCCGGAGTTCAAGGCATCAAGACTTGAAGAAGAAGATCAAGTCCAAGCTAGAAGCATTAGCTCACCCTGAATTTCTGGTGTAGTAAGACTGGCTTGAATTACTGTTGAGTCGAAGGCGACGGCACGTTTGCTACGCTCCACAAATAAACAAGAAGAAAACATAAAAGTAGGGGTCAGTACAAAACACGGGTACTGAGTAGATATCATCGGCCAACTCAAAATAGAAAACAGTATATATCAGATAATATCATAAAATCAACTAGTATCCTTAGCATGCAGCATTTACAGTTACCATAACCCTTGCTTACAACACCAAGCACATCAATGAGGACTCACGCCTCCTCATCATACTCATTTGGAAATTAGGTTCATTAGATTTGAATATATTATCATCTTTCAAGACTCATCATCTTTATTCCCCTCGTGTCGGTACGTGACACTCCGCTCCTCAATATACTATCCTGGTGTCGGAACGTGACACCCGATCCATATTCTATCCTGGTACCGGAATGTGGCACCCGATCCATATACTATCCTGGTGTCGGAACGTGACACCCGATCCATATTCTATCCTGGTACCGGAACGTGGCACCCGATCCATATACTATCCTGGTGTCGGAACGTGACACTCCGATCCTCATATACTATCCTGGTACCGGAACGTGGCACCCGATCCATATACTATCCTGGTGTTAGAACGTGACACCCGATCCATATATTCTATCCTGGTACCGGAACGTGGCACCAGATCCCCTAATCTCACCACCTTCGTTCATCAAGCCTTCTTTTATACCAAGGCATCATCATTAACAAAGTAGATTAGGGTTTCTTTTCAAGATTTGGGATTCAATAGCTTCATCAGCTTATTTATTCACAATTACATAATCACATCATTCATGCAAGCATACAATTAAGCATATAGAAGGTTTACAATACTACTAACACATATCATTCGCTATTAAGAGTTTACTACGAATAGCATGAAAACCATAACCTACCTCCACCGAAGAATTGCGATCAACAAGCTATCTTCTCAAAATCCTTGCTATCCCCTTCGTTTCTCTCTCTCTCTCTACTCGTTCTCTTTCTTTTTCTGTCTCTCTTTGTCCTTTCTTGTTTTTCTTATTCCAACCCTCTTTCTTTTACCCTAATTAGTATATAATTAAGAATAAAAGATGACAATAATGCCCCACTAATTAACTTAAGGTTACCTCTTTTAACCCCCAAGTAATTAGACTTATTAACATTAACCCACTAACTTTATAATTAAGGCAAGAATAGTCAAAAACGTCCCTTAAAACGTATCAAGAAATCCAACCCGGACTGGGATTGCGCAACCTGTGAAGGGCCGTCGTGCCTACGACGGTCCGTCCTGCAGGTCGTCGCAAAGTTCAGAGACCCAAATTTCCACCAAGGGTCTGTGACGGTCCGTCACACCTGTGACGGTCCGTCCTGCCATTTCGTTACGAAGTTCAGAGAGTCGATTTTCGGTATCCAATTTTCAGTTTTTTCTAAGTGTTTTGAAACGAGACCCTGCGACGGTCCGTCGTGCCCATGACGGTTCGTCGTGGGGTCCGTCGCCCCAGCCTGTTTTTCCAGAAATAAAATCTGCTGCACAAAACGACTAAACAGGTCGTTACAGATATGTATATTAAGTTTTATATGAAATGTGTATGAAATTGTGTATTAAGTTTTGTATCAAGTTTTTATGATATTGTTGAATATTAATATCCATAATTAAACTACATACTTTATATTTTGATTTGTATATTTAGTGTTGAATATATTGTATATGAAAGAGTGTTGTAGGTTTGTATGAATTTGTATAAATATGCTACATCTATTTTATTACATTATAAATGTCTAAACAGTGTATGAACTGTGTATGATTATATTGTATTATGTTTTATATACTATGTGTATGAAATTACATATTTTTTTCTATTACAACATCAATATATGAAACATGTATGAATTGTGTATGATTCACTGTAGTAATTCTGTATGATATGTGTATGATATGACATTTTTGTTTCACTTACCTATCAATATATGAGTAATGTATCAATATATGTATGATTAGTGTATTATGTTTTGTATGTTATATGTATGAAATTCTATATTTTGTTTTTTTTTCACATTAGCAATGTATGAATATACTATGACAAATTGATTAATTTAATTTTTACAATTTTTTAGGAGAATAAGACACAAACACATTTGTCTTCATGTATTAACATGAACGTGTTTGCGGATTTGTTGACCTTTTTAGGTCAAGATAAGTTTCAACAATTCCTAGATGAAACACCTTTTGAATTTTTTAATAATTTGCATCACATTAAAATCCAATGTCAATTGTTGAGACACTTATTTATACTTGGGAATGAAAAT